TTCTTGCTGTTGACGTCACCGTCAACGATGTCAATGTTGTTGTTGTTGTTGTTGCCCGTTTTTTGGGGAATACCGGTTGTTTGCCGGTGGGTACCCCGCCCAACGCGGCGCGTTAACGGCCGCGTCGGCTTTTTCAAGCTGGGCGAGGTACTGGTGGTTTAAATGGTGATCTTGACACATCATCGACACTCGACTGAGTGATGACCCCTGACGATTCCGGAGCCGGCTCTGGATGAAACGCGTAGGGTCTTGCCGGAGTAGTTGACCTTGCTCTGCATGAGACGGACATGACATCCATCTTCGGGTTCAACTCTATTGGCTGGATTGGCTTTGATTTTATTCGAGCCATATGTCGCATTTGGGAGACATCGATGTGTCATTTCTCACCTCTTTTCTCCTCTTTTCCCTCATCTCCCTTGTCTCTAACATGGATGCCTTCTTCTACCATCACTTGGTGTTTGTCATGCATGTCGTCTTTTAGGCCACGTGGCCGTATCTGGAATGTGATGGTTTATGATTGCTACGAATGTGTCTTGGGGCCTCGCCGGACGGTGCAAAAAAAACGAAACGAAACGACCTCAAACCTCGCGAGGCCAAGAATCACCGTTTTGACTCGTTTTTTGCACCACTGCCGCACAGCACACGCGAATTCCCTCGGGGAAAGGGCGTCACTCTCTTCAAACTTCTCTCGCAACACCTGACACATGCAAAAGTACAAAATTTTTGGATGTACTCTCTTTGGAGCGACGTGTTGCACTCGTGCGGATTCGCAGCTCCACCAGCAGTGAAGCGGAGGACCTGCGAGTTCGCTTGAGTTGCAGGCAGGGATGGCCGCTGCACGTGCGCACACTCGCGAACTTGGAGTCTGACATCTTTCGCGAGGAAACACTGACAGGATCCGCGAGGGTGCTGTGCGGCGAAACCTACGCGAAACGAAGTCATTTTTTTTTTCGTGTAGTCATTTTTTTTTTCGCGTAGCGTGCCGTCCGGCCAGGCCCTTGATCGTTTAGGCTGCAAGCCGGTACGGTTTGCTCTCTCGATTATTTGTGACTAATGGATGATTATGCCAGTATTCTCAACAACAATATCAGTGCTGCACAGCAACCAACAATAAATATTGGCCAAGGTCCTGCCAATCTTGAGAGTACTGGAGCGAGGCCCATAGCTTGCCAGTCACTGCCCTCCCGTCTCACCCCCTTTTCCCTGCTAACACAGCAGCTTCTGCTAATGCCGGCCCTTGGGGACCAAACCAATGGCGTATCTCCAACCAAGCGTGCCCTCGGATGTGCAGCCGTCCGGAATTGAACCCGCAATCGCCTGAATGCCGCCGCGCCATTTTGGGTGCCTTTTACCGAGCTACTGTAGGCCGCATCGCCTTTTCCCGCGGATTTGGAGAGCGGGGCATCGAGCGCCACAAACGGTAGGCTAAAAAGAAAACAAAACGAAAAACAACAAAAAAAACCGAAAAAAAACGGTAGGCTCATGAGCGGGGCGACGAGCTCGCCTGTCGTCCCTCCTCTGGGCGGGACTGGGAATCCGGCGGGAATTGCGATTGGCGGGAGCGGGGGGCTGGCCCAGTGCTTTTCTGCCGCCGGGGATCTCTGTCGACCTGCCTTCGGAACCAGTGCATCGCCTTGCCAGGCAGTGAGAAGAAGCTATCGTTGGTTGGAGGGTGACACTCAGTGGGACCAGGCGGGAAACAAGAGGGCGTCAGATTGCCGGTCGGTCCAACCAGCAGCACCCGGACTTGATTGTTGTGTCACTGCACCGATCGGTTTGACCGTGCTCTGGGCGGAAGTGTTTTGACGCAGGACACTTTAGTCGATTACGATCATAATCCGTCGAGAGCATCGGGTTCGACTGCAGGTCTAGGAGGAGGAAAGCGTCCACCTCAATTGCTATCAGGACGGCTGTGGTGGCTGCTGGATGTAGGATCAGGACTCCGTCGTCGAAATTCTTGGCATTTGTTCACGTAGTAGCCGGCATTACGGCGGATTACGGTGAGTGCTTTGTGTGCTTTTGCGGTCTTTCTTTATGCAAAACCTTGATCCGCTCCTATGGAAATCGAGAAGTTCAATATCATCACAGACTGTGTGTGTGTGTGCGTGTGCGTGTGTGTGTGTGTGTGTGTGTGTGTG